GGTCTTCCCGGTCTACCAAGGACCCGGCCCTCCGAGACCGGGGAGTCTGGGTCCTCCGGAGGACCCGGCCTGTCGTTTTGGACACAGCCGCAGACTCAGTGTGTGGGCGGAGTTAGTCCTAATCATGATTGGCAGGCCTCAGTGTGTGGGCAGAGTTTGTCCTAACCATGATTGGCAGGCTTCAGTGTGTGGGCGGAGTTTGTCCTGATCATGACTGGCAGAGTACTTCATGTGGGCAGAGWTTGTCCTAACCATGACTGGCAGAGTTCTGTGTGTGGGCGGAGTTTGTCCTAACCATGATTGAGAGAGTTCTTCATGTGGGCGGAGTTTGTCTTAACTGTGATTGGCAGACTTCTTCATATGGGCGGACTTTGTCCTGACCATGATTGGCAGAGTTCTTCATGTGGGCGGAGTTAGTCCTAATTGTMATCGGTGGAGTTCTTTGTGTGGGAGGAGTTTGTCCTAACTGTGATTGGTTGGATTAACCTAGAGAAATTAAAAAGAGGGACAGTAATAGTTAAATTTTTGTGAACATGTAAATAGGATTTATTAACGGTTTATGTACAATTTAAAACAGAACAATGARCTAAAAATGTGCTTCCTGGCCTTTTCAACCAAGCTACTCCCAGCTGCCCCCCACCCCCAGCTTCTTCAAATCCTACCTGACCAATCACYTCTTGAACAGGCTCCTCCCACAAAACAAGAAACTGTTACTTAGTGATTTCAGAGACCCCCTTCTGTACATCTGTGTGCAAAAGTTTTGAACATTTTTTCAAATGCAATAAAATGCACAATGTCCTGGTTGCCATGTTAWAAATGTTGGCTGTCCAAAACAATGCAAAATATTTTAAAGATATTTAGATACAACAACTTGGCAGACTTTATCTTGACAAATCACATTTTTATCAGCAATATTTGCTGCAATAAGCAAACATTTTCTGTTCTATGAAAATATAATATTTGACAGCTGAATCAGTAATTAACAAACTCAAACAACAAAAATGTTTATCTTCATTTTATGTTAAGTTTTTAGCACCTTCACACTCTCTCCTTTCAGTTCACTGGTGTTTCTGTTCAGCAGTCATGGTGGAAGAGGCTGGGGACATCCTGGACAAGTCACAATGTGACGGTTATAATATTAATATTGATAAACAACAATAAATAAGTACAATTTTAAATAAAGCTACACTCCACTGCAACTCATTTTACAGTTAATTTGTCGGATTTACTTATTTTGGATCTGAACCAGATAWCCACAATTTCCGGGGACAGTCCCTGTTCTGGACGACCTGTCCTTGGTTAAGCTGTCCCCAGAAATGGCCCCGATAGGAAAACTGAACAAGACAAGAACTGAATAAACTGAGACTGCTGGTGAAATGTGCATTTCTACTGTTGGATGAGCTCCAAATAAAGAGTTTTATTTATTTATTTATTTATTTACTTTTTGTTATAATAATATTGGACTAGGGTTACCCGTTTCTCATCTAAAAATAAAAACTCACTAAATCAGTATACAATCATGTTTCCCCAGTTTTAGTACTCTAATACTATTATGATATTTGTTTTATTACGCTTKAGAAATGCTAACAGCATTCCTGCTTTTGCACTTTTTTGTTTAAATGAAAAGAAATGTGTAAAAATAAACTGTACCTGTCTCTTCATTTTATCTCAATAACATTTTATTTTTTATTTTTAATCTCCGAGCTAGTAAATCTGGTCAGCTTGTTCTGTTGTGGGCTGGTTGGACCATCTATCTGCAGTAGCAGGACAGCTGTAGCACTAGTTTCAGTATTGATGCTAGATGACAATATAATTTTAGCAAAATAATTTAAAGAGAAAATGACTGCAGTGTAAATGTTTAAAGTATTAGTGCTTTTTTTTTAAAACTGTGATTTGTGGTGTTCAGCTTTGTTCTCGTTCTTTATTAACAAACAGCTAGTCTGAGTCCAGAGCAGGTTGCTGCCTGTCTTAAAACATCTCTAGTCTTCAAATCATAGAAATTCATACAAGCATTTTACATCACATCTTTAGACTTCCATTAATTTCACATTCACAATTATGTGGCAGAACTATTATCCTGTTGTGAGTGTCCCCAGGCTGTGCTGAAGGTTTTACTGCTATCTGCAGCTATTTGCAGCCAAACATAACCACAGAATTCAGTGTAAATAAACACACAAATCAAAACTGACTACAGTTTAGAATTTCATGAAAGAAATTGCACAACTAAAAGCTGGAGCTGTTTTAAGATGCCAGTTATCGATGTTAACGGTATATGTATGTATGTATGTATGTATATATGTATGTATCGGTGCTTGTTTGCAGCTTTATTTCTCCAAACTTCACTTAAGCCTTGTCCATTCAGTTTTTACAAAAACATTTTTCARGTGTGTTATGTATTTAGTAAAACCAATACTTTATTCATTGGCACTATTTTGCATTCTACGTGGAAGAACACCCAGTGTGATATGAGCACATTGATCTCATGTTTGAGTGTTAAAGAAGCAGAAAAGAAAAAAACGTCAAAAAAGTAGGTCACATTCAACTGAAGGTTCCGTTGAGTCTGTATAATTAAGTTACAAGAATAACATGACAATGAGTTATTTTGAAAACTTTTATCATCACATCTTCAACCTCACAGAAAGACCCATAAAGCTGTGGAAGCCATGCTAGGCCAAACCAAAAAACTGGAAACAAGGCATGGAGCATGAGCATAAAATGCTTACATGCCAGGTTCAAACTGTCAACACGAGAAAAAGAGGACGTCCTCATGTTAGAGGTTAGATCAGACGTGAGGCTATGACATRAATGTTTTCAAAAAGTTAAATTTGGGCCATCTAAAACACGTAGGTGGCAATTCACAAACAACTTTCCCTCTGGAAGCAGTTTTAAGAAAATACTGTTTGCAGAAAATGTTGTGTGTGTACACCAGGCTAAAATGATAAGGAAAAAACATTTACAAAGCACACTTCTGATTCCCCTAAAAGAACTAGCTATCTATTCATAACCTTTTCACAGAACTCCATTTCAAAATGTCTAAGATATTTTGAAAAGCAACTTGGACATGTTTTCAAAAGAACATGACAGAACTTAAAGCAAAAGCAATAACCCTCTGTGGTTAGTGAAGAGTTTCAGTGAAATGAGAAACGAATGGGTTGTGGTGAATTTGAAAAAGTGACACTTCTAGCAAAATAAAACACTGATTAGGTTAAAAATAAACTGTAAAATGTCACTGGGATGGGTTTAGAGGCAGCCGCATAATGACCTGTTACATAACAGAGACGTGTTAATAATCCTACAGGCCTTATCCTGTGAATTTACATATTCATCTTACCCTAAAGACATCAATGACAGCATGCAAGAAGACATGAGACACAAAACAAACAAAAAAGGAGGAAAAAATTAAAGTGAGATTAACAAAAAGAAAATATTCAAACCATTTTGGTCATTAGTGTTTTTAATGGAAGAAATGAAAAGAGACAGAAACGGACATGGAGGCACAAAGGTCAGGTRGGGTTTATTGTTTTACTTTGATGGTGCAGTTGATGTAAGGGTCTCCAGATGGTTTCAGGCCAATGATCTGTGGGAAGGACAGAAACAGGATAGGTGACAAATAAATCAAATCCTGTTTTCTTTTATTTGAGATGTGGAGACACTGTCCCATTTTGACCTGGGAAGTGAGGCTTACCCTGTTCATTTTCAGCAGAATGCAGGGTTTCCCTTCATGGTATCCAAAGTTGGTGTCAGAGAGGCCGGAGCAGCGACTCAGGGATGATCTCTTGAAACGACAAACCTTCTTTGTCATTTCCTCATCATCGTCCTGCAAGTAGTGACTTCCAGGAACGCAGTTTTCATTCTTCTCCTGGTGTATGTCATCATAAGCTAACGGGGAGATGGCGTGGACAGAGATAGAAGGAAAAGGGTAAAATCACCTGCTGCCAACAAAGAACAATATTGATTTTCTCTGTTTCTTTATGTGTYTAATCATCTGTCTGTAAGCAAAAATCTCAAAGACCATTGGACAGACTTTAATGAAACTCTCAGAAAGTGAACTGCAACTAAACAACTTTTGGAGTCAACCTGATTCAAGATGGCTGCCACAGTCAACTGATCTTAAAAACATAAAAGTGTCTAAAACTATGTCAGTTAATAATCAGCTAAAATCTGGTGTGTAGTTGACACTAACCCACAACTCATATTATGAGTGCAGGGGAAGAGCCAGAGGGCTGGACAGGGAGGCAAATGCCACCCCTGGCACCTGATTGGTCACCCCAGGTGCCACCCCTAAATGATCYACAAGTGAGGGTGGGGGTCACGTTTGGCGATAAAACATGATCAGTTAGAGCTAAAACAAAGTAAATATACTGTATGTTATGTAGCTGGATTATCAGAGAACCTATCATTGTGTGAAGAAAAAAAAATCACTTTTGTAAACCACTGAATAAATTTTAAAGCAATAATTCCACCACAACAAATTTCAGCTCATGTGTAAAAAAATCAAGGAATTGTAACCATTTAAATTTAGTTTTGGTGGACATCTTGGATTCTTTTATTTGGTTTTAGAGCCCATTAGTCATCACTCTCAGCTGCCACCACACTAAATTTTAGCTTAATATCTCTAAAAACCTAAAATTGAGATTTCAAAATGACACAGCATTGTTCTTGGCTAAAACCTTACCAAATTTCAGCTCAGTAGTTCTAAAATATGGCTGAGGCTATTTGAAATTAGCTTTGGTGACCATTTTGGATTTGCATTCAGGTTTTGTTAATATACTTGGCTGCTACTATATAAATTTCCAGGAGTGTATTTAATAGCCGAATTAAAGTCCTTCATAAAATTAGCATTAGCGGTTAGCATTGGAACTAACAATCATTCTTGGTTACAATACCCCTTGCAAAAAGGTCTGTTAGGGGTCTGTTAGGTCCGTTAGGGCTGCAGCTGCCCCGCTGT